TAACTGGCTTCTCTTTAGTTTATCACTTCACAGTTAGGGACAGCTACCGCAGATGGCGCTCGTGGAGCTTAGCGCGAAAACTGAACAGCCATTCAAAGTAAAGTTGTAAATAGAAATATATTAACAATTAAACTAAAAAAAATACATAAAATATAGAATAACAATAGTACAGGAGAGGACCCTCCCAGGTCGTCAAAATACCTAAATCCCGATGATTGAATCCTAGACACAAACATATCTCTATTTTAAAAGGGTTTTGTATGTAGAAATAGGGTTATGTGTGTGTGTGTGTATGACTGTTATGTGGAACTGTAACGTGGATGTTAAATTAAAACTGTGGAGATTGGAGAAAATTGAACATACTGTGAGTCAGGCAACAACGATGTAACAAGGATTATTGCCTAGGATTCAGTAAGAGTACAAACAAAATAATTGCAGGTCAGATGGAGGAAGAGGTCAACGCTAAACCTAATCTTTCCTGGTCCAAAACACGGACCTAATCCCGATGAAAATGATATTAATATTTTAAAGAGTTATAGTCTAGGGCGGATTAAGATGAGGGCTACGGCCCCAGGTCCGGGTTAAAAAAAAAAAGGTCTGTTATGAGGTTTAGTTTTTTTTTTTTTAACTTAGTCTTTTGTCGTAATCATAGAAAAGTGTAGCACCGGGCTCGTCTGCCCCTCAATCCGCCCTCAATTTACAGTACACATATAACGGCTTGTTCCTCGTATATCATTATGGGGGAATCTCGAACGTATTATAATTTAATTTTCTAAAATACAGAAATATTTTTATGTAAATGGTAAAAGCACAGAAAGTTTCTATGTCAAACCCTAATAATCTTCTTTATCAATCCCTGTAAAACAAGACTTGGCTTATTCTAAATGTGATCGTAATTTTAAAAATTTAATTTTCTGGTGTCAGTAATCCTTGACTAACTCTACCATTATAGATTAAAAAAAAATACATGAATGTTTCCACTTCAACGATCTAATAATGTTCAATGAAAATATTGATTTTCTGGTGTCAGTAATCCTTGACTAACTCTACCATTATAGATTAAAAAAAATACATAAATGTTTCCACTTCAACGATCTAATAATGTTCAATGAAAATATTGATTTTCTGACGTTATTATTTGTTAATCTTGTACGACTCCTTGTGGCCGTTCAGCGAAATAACACTGAACATTGATGTTACAATTAAAAAAAAACTCGTGCCCATGAATACAGTGGATTAAAGATGTAAAAATTTTTTATTATTATTCCTGTAAACTCCCAGTGGAGCATAGGGCCGTAACAACACCTCACTAACGGAAAGTTGTTGTTGTTGTTGCAGTTACTTGTAGCAGGTTGCTAGCCCCGCGCCCAACCCTCCTCCTTGACTCGGGACCAGGCAAAGTTGGTATGTTTGGTGTGACGGGGATTCGAACCCGCGACCCTCAGATTACGAGTCGAGCGCCCTAACCACCTGGCCATCAAAGATATAAACTCTACAGAATAGAATGAGAATTGTTTTAATTTCACGTGGCAGGCAGAGCTTTAAAATCATTATGAAACATACTTAGTTAAAAAGTACAATTTTATTACTAGAGTTTCGTAGAGACGATAAAAGGCTTAACGAAGATAAAAGTTGTTATTTCCTATGGTCTCGACTTTGTTGTTGTTGTTGTTGCCGTGATATTTTGATTCTCGAGAGATACTGCCTTCTCTTACGTAATCTTGTCCCCCCCCTTCCTTTTTTTTGTTTTTTAAACTAGTTTTTCTTACTGGCTTACTGCGCTACAATTCGGGGTTCGATTCCCCTCAGTGGACACAGCAGATTGTGACACATTGTGGCTTAGCTATTATAAAACACGCACATTCACGAGTAGTTGTGCACGAAATTAAACAAACCAATTAATAAGACTATTAAAAAAAATTTAAACTTCCCGTGTCGTACGAGCGTAATATGGTGCCTAGCGTATGAAATTGTAAATCCGAAAATACCCGTTTTCACAAACACTTTCAGAGTAACCCAAGAGTTGATGAACGTACTGTTTACTAATTACCTTCCCCCTGTCGTACAATTCAAAATTAAAGACCACCGTGCACAGATGGTTCCCTTTGGTACATTTTGATACAAGTTGTTCACAAAATTATACAGGACAAACACCGACAGTCAAGTTTTCTCGCCAGCAAATTGACCTATTTTTAATGGACAGTGTGGAGTGAAATAACTATTAAAAAAAAGTAAACAAAATTATACAGGACAAACACCGACAGTCAAGTTTTCTCGCCAGCAAATTGGCCTATTTTTAATGGACAGTGTGGAGTGAAATAACTATTAAAAAAAAGTAAACAAAATGATACGATTGTGCTCATACAACAGTGTGCGAAAATGTTGACCGGTTGATTATGTTGTATACTACAAAGTGACGTGTCTTACCGGAAGTAAAACTATATTTTTTAGATGGAACTACTTTTAAGTATTAAATGCAATGGATATGTTATAGTAATGATCGACCAAGAAAATATAGGTAATAAAATTGGTAATTGACGTAGGAATGTTTTCACCGCTAGGTGGCGTATTCCTTTGTGTCGATTGCACAAAGCTACACAATGAGCTATTTGTGCCATGCGTACGACGGGTATCGAAATTCGATTTTGAGCGTTATAAGTTCGCAGCCATATCGCTGAGCCACGGTGAGTTAGAGGGGCGTGTTGATTGCGCACTGAAAAGAATTAATTTCTTTCTGCGTTTTCCCAAATATGTTGGCTTTAAATTACTAGTTTACATCGAGATATGTTTGTAAGTAGAAAAGTTTGGCGTAAGATTATCAGCTTTAAAAAAAAAAAAAGATCGTTCTGATAATACTACCTTTTGTTTGTTTTTACATAAATGAATAACGACAACCACGCCATCTATCCTCGAACATTTGTTCAGTCGGGCCCTGTTAGTTTTGTGGGTCATTAAATAACGGATTACTTGTAAAAAAACAAAAAAACAATTAATATGGTAACTTGTAAAATGGGAACGTGTCCTAAACTGATTACTCAAGTAAAGGGGTATTAAAATACACTAATTATGTTCATCAGTTCAAGATACTATAGTGATTGTAATCACACACGCGATAATATCGCCGTTCGAATATGATACCCCCCTCCCCAGTCATTCTTGGGGTCCATGTCTTGTATGCCCGTAACTTGTATCTGGCGAATCGCCGGACCCTTTAGCCACCGGTCTTGACAGGTACCCTTTAGATACCCCCAAGGAGTGACTTAAAGGGGTTGTCATTGGCTCTCCTCCCCGTGAGTTGAACTGGGATGTAAGTTAATATTCGTTATGATGATAATGTCACACTCTACAAAAACACACGTGTTAGGTTTTTACTCCAGAAACGTATAGGAAATCAAACAATTTATATCGAAAGAGGAAGTTCCTGCCACTGTACAGCACGTAGTTACAGATTCAATACTTCCTGTCTAAAGGTACCTGCCAGATTTAGTGCAAATCGATTCACAAAACTTTTATCTAATAGTTACAAGTCTCTAAGACAGAGTCGTCTATTAAATTAACGTGCGTCAGCTCCGAGAAGACGACAAATAGGGATGATAACGAACTATGACGTATAAGACGAGACTGACCTCTTTTCAATAATTGTTTTATCAAAAGTGATACCGAGAAATCTTCATCATTATGTTTTTACACTGAATAAGATATTTTTAATAAATCCGAGAAATAGCGGCCATCTTTTTTTTTGAGTTAGAATATTTATAGCCATTATAACGTTTACTTCTAAACGTGAGTCATTATTTTAGTTTTTTATCATGAATCTATGGCCAGGTGGTTAGGGGGCGCTCGACTCGCAATTTGTGGGTCGCGGGTTCGAATCCCCCGTCACACCAAACATGCTCGCCCCTTTCAGCTGTGGGGGCGTTATAATGTGACGGTGAATCCCACTATTCGTTGATAGAAGAGTATCCCAAGAGTTGGCGGTGGGTGGTGAAGACTAGCTGCCTTCCCTCTAGTCTTAAATTAGGAACGGCTAGCGCAGGTAGCCCCCCGTGTAGCTTTGTCGTTCGAGGAAGGTATACCTGACGAGTTTCCTTTCCTGTTGTTTTCCTTGTTTTAAAACTTAAAACATGAAGAAAATGATTCATTGCTTTCGCCGACTTGGTTGTAGTAAAGTCACAACGGAATGACCACTTGATTTGTTGTGACAGCTGCAGCAACAACAACTCGCCCCTACGTTCCTCTGTCATTTCTTAATCTAGTAATCTTATGGCTGACTTCGTTGTTCTATATTATAATAGTCGTTTTTGTCTGCTGTTATTGCGATGACTTGTGGGCAAGCTCAGCACTCGAGCTGTGAAAAGGAAAGACTGGTAAAAGTAACTCCTTAAATTTATTCACAGGTGAACAATCCAAGTTTCTTCCTGTCTTTAACAAGGGAAACTGAGGTCCTTCCTGTAAACCATACTATGAGGTCCTTCCTGTAAACCGTACTATGAGGTCCTTCCTGTAAACAGTCCTATGAGGTCCTTCCTGTAAACCGTACTATGAGGTCCTTCCTGTAAACCGTCCTATGAGGTCCTTCCTGTAAACCGTCCTATGAGGTCCTTCCTGTAAACCGTCCTATGAGATCCTTCCTGTAAACCGTACTATGAGATCCTTCCCGTTAGTTCGACCACAAAGTAAACCGTACTAATATGGATTTTTACGAGGAAATTAAAAAATTAATATTGTACAAAAAACACATTAAGCGTATTTGATTTGTTATTAATTTCGAGCAAAGCTACACGAGAGCTATCTGTGCTGACCCTCCCTAATCTAACGGTGAAAGATTAGAAGGAAGGCAACGCCACCCGCCGCCATATCTTGGACTACTCTTTACTAACGAGTAGTGGGATTGACCGTCACGTTATAACGAGAGAAGAACGAGCATTTTCGGGGATTCGAACCTGCGACCCACAGATTGTGTAATAATCTCAAGGAACTAACTAATAACAATCTCTTAGCTCTGAATGTACTTACATTATCAAATCTCTGTCTTATAGTTACAGTTGCTGTCAGGATTCTCCGGCTCTCGGTACCACACTCGGTAGAAAACGGGACAGATCACGTGATTTTAGACTGCGAGTACAACTATAGTGTCAGTGATCTCCGCTTGGTGGTAAAGTGGTTCTATAATGAAAACTTAGAGCCCATCTATCAGTGGATTCCAAAGCTAAACGCACGACATATATCCGAAATGTTGTTAGGTAGACTGAATCTTTCCTACAAAGTGAATTCTCCCGATCCTTACTTCCAGTACAGAGCCCTCTATCTTCTACGTCCAACGCTGGACATAGCAGGAAAATACACGTGCCAGGTGATGTCCCTCGCTGGTCATGATCAACGTCATCAAGTAATGATGGTTTATGGTAAGTATAGTAACTGGTTGTTCGTGGTTAACTTACTCGTTATGTTCGTACTTTCTGATTAACTACAAGTAACTGTTGGTTTATAGTAAATACACTAGTTCATACAAATAACACTAGGTTAGGTTAGTAACTGTTGGTCCATAGTAAATACACTAGTTCATTCAAATAACACTAGGTTAGGTTAGTAACTGTAGGTTTATAGTAAGTACACTAGTTCATACAAATAACACTAGGTTAGGTTAGTAGCTGTTGGTTTATAGTAAATACACTAGTTCATACAAATAACACTAGGTTATGTTAGTAACTGTTGGTTTATAGTAAATACACCAGTTCATACAAATAACACTAGGTTAGGTTAGTAACTGTTGGTTTATAGTAAATACACTAGTTCATACAAATAACACTAGGTTAGGTTAGTAACTGTTGGTTCATTGTAAATACACTAGTTCATACAAATAACACTAGGTTAGGTTAGTAACTGTTGGTCAATAGTAAATACAATAGTTCATAGAAATAACACTAGGTTAGGTTAGTAACTGTTGGTCAATAGTAAATACAATAGTTCATACAAATAACACTAGGTTAGGTTAGTAACTGTTGGTTTATAGTAAGTACACTAGTTCATACAAATAACACTGGGTTAGGTTAGTAACTGTTGGCTTATAGTAAATACACTAGTTCATACAAATAACACTAGGTTAGGTTAGTAACTGTTGGCTTATAGTAAATACACTAGTTCATACAAATAACACTAGGTTAGGTTAGTAACTGTTGGCTTATAGTAAATACACTAGTTCATACAAATAACACTAGGATAGGATAGTAACTGTTGGCTT